ATTACTTTTTATTTTTTTATAACACTTTTTTATCAATTAAAACTAGCATTATGATAATACATTGGAAAAAATATAAGCAAAAAAATATTTGAATAAACTTGTAAGTAAAAAAATATTTGAATAAATTTGTAAGTAAAAAAATATTTGAATAAATTTGTAAGTAAAAAAATATTCAAATAAATTTGTAAGTAAAAAAATATTTGAATAAATTTTTTTAATATTTGATAAAAATAATTTTTTTTGCTGATAAAGTATATCGAAAATGATGAAGTTATATACAAAATACTTTGACAAAATATTAGAAAGGATTAAAATGTAACTAACAATTACCAAATGTTTGATAAACTAACTATTATTGTTTATCGTTTATGAACTGAAAAACAAAATTTTTGTATTATTCACAGGAATATATTAAAATTTAACTCAAACTAATTTTTATGAGTCATTACTATATTATTATATTTGATAATAACACAGTGAGTCATCCTTCAATTTTGATCAGTTTACTGACTTGTTTGCACTAATTTTACGTAAAAATCAAATTATTAGTAATTGTGCAAATTTTATCAAATTATTAATTTTATTCCAAATCTTTTGGGATAACTGTTTTTTAGATATTTGTCTATACAAAACTAACTCAATTAAAACTAAAATTCCGATGCATATTTTGTATTTGAAATATAGAATGACCTACGTCAGGTCATTTGAAATAGAATGACCTCCGAATTTTTTAAAATAACTTAAATTTTAAAGTAAGAACCTATTGAGCAATATTTCTATACTCTGTCTGATAATATGCTCATTTTCGAATATACCTCAATTTTTTAACTTTTTTTTCATTTTCATAGCAGTCAATTTTTAATTAAGTTTTCATTCAACCTTCAAATTTAACAACTTATAAATTAAAGATCAATTTAATCAAACAAGCAGCTTTGTCCAGTATTATCAAACAATATAAAAATTTGGTCACTTAATGTTTAGTAAAAGCTTTAATTGGTACTAAAGTTCAAACTTTTCATCACTAATAATCAAAAATCACAAATTAGGCTTTCAATTTTTGAACTTTCACTTTGAAATAACCTAAAAAATTAAGTTTACTGATAATTAGTCAAGTAAAGAACACTTAAGTGGATGCTTCCAAGAATGCTTTAAGTCTGTCACGCTTGATTTTTACGAGCGTATGTTCGTTTTTTATTTCAGTCTTAAGCGCGAAATCACTTTGATGCGTAAATTTAATTTACATTTATAAATTTTAAAAACGATATATTATAACATTATTTTGATCAAATTGACCTTACAGCATTTTTTTTGTTGTTGAACATTTTGACAAATTTATTGCTTAGTTTGCTTGATATGAATAAGATTTATGGAATTTGGAGTAAGAATTGAAAAAAAAATTAAATCTGTTGGTAATAAAAATAATAAGAATAAGTTAACCGCCAAAGTATTCCGAAATAATAATTATAATTTGTAAAAATTTATGATTATAATTTGTAAAAATACGTAATTTGTAAAAATTTTTTGCTTATATATTGCTACAATTTTAATAATAGTGTCAATATGTTAGTAATTAATGAATATAACATGAATAACAACTATGATAATAATAAGAATGATAATTACGAATTGTACAATAACCTTAGAGCACCTTTAATTTCGCAGTTTATTTTTTGTTTTTTTAATATATGTGATAAAATTGATAACTTTATTGAAAAATTCACTAAGTTATTTGGGCGCTTTTTTTAATTTTTTAAGTAATTATATTAGTAATTAAAATTTTTGATAAAAAATTGTAAAATTTTCAATTATTGTTTTAGTTTGGTAGGAAGATGCAATAACGAAAACGATAAGTTAAATGACAAAAAAATAGGCTGGAAAGGCACTGCAGGTTTTTTCATATTTTTTGAAATTTTTAATGGTTTTTTCTTTTTTGTGTAAATACGCATTATTAATTAAACAAGTTTAAATTGAATTTTCTGCTAATTAAATTAAATTTAATTAGCAAGTAAATAAATTGTTGAAAAAATGTTTTTATTGCCGCAAAATTAAAATCTGAAATATAAATGGAACAGATTTGAAGTTTTAGTTTATTTTGGAACTTAAAATGTGAGCTAATTTGAATAATTATAGTTTTAAAAATATATGTGTTGATGGATAATGCTGTTTTGATTGTCTATCAAGTATTAATGTGATAATTAATTACTTGATTATACAATTATTCATGCTTTTGTAGATTACGCCAAAGGTATCATACTGTGTAAACATGAGATGCTTTTGGATAAAGATGAAAATTTAATTATTTAATTTCAGGACGCTAGAATGTTTAATGATTTGCTCTGATAGAATATTTTTAGGCTTTTGTTCTAAAATAAATAGAACTCTTTTGGTGTGTATATATTTGAAGTGAAGTAATAATTTTCAAATTATTTAAAACATCTGCAGCATATAATTGAGCAAATTTTGTATTAAAGTTGTATGAAAATTCGATTCTATGATTGTTTCTGTGAATTGATATTCAAGTTTTTAAGTTTTTAAGTTCAAAGTCTCAAAATCTCACATTTATTGAAAAAATCATATTTTGTTACTAAAAATTACTCAAAATAATTAGAAATTTAACATTTGAATTTGCGACAAGTTGAAGACTTTCAGATGTTGCTTTCGAATGAAAGAATTATCAGTGTGGAATGTGATTGTCGGAAAATCCATGATCATGATCAAATTTATATGAAACAAAAAATGTTAGAATCACAGTTGAAAGTTTGAAGTAATTATTAAAACCAAATTGATATTTCACTAAAATTTTAATAATATAAGTTTTTATAGCAATTTAAACTGCAATTTTTATTTTCAATTGCGTCTAAAAATTTTTAAGTAAGCAGAAAACATTAAATTATATTTTTTATAATTTAAAAAGCTCCATAACATATAAATAGCGCTTTATTTAAACTTCAAAGCATCATTTAATTCAATTATATAATCAAATTAAATCTAATGACTATTCTTTTTCAAATTATTACTTTGATTTTTTAAATTTGACTAATTAATATTTCCTGAATACCAAGCTATTAAATTTAATTATTTCAATAATAATGCTTAATTTCACTTCTAATTAATCCATTGTTAGCATTTTTTGTAAAAAAGGTTAATATATATTAATATATATTAACATAAAAAATATGAATATTCTAATTTGCATTTA